TACCAAGCACCTCACATGGTGAGGCTAAGAGGACAGCAGTGGACAAAACAGATAGAAACTCTGCCCTCAGGAGATGCCGGTGGCCCGGAGAGTGGCTGCCCAGACATGGCACACATTGTCACACAACCAGACACTGAATTGCAATTAAGCTAAATGCTACAAGGAAGTTATGGGTTATTGTTAGAGAATTTAGCCACGCCATCTCCCTGGCAAAAGGCCCACCCCTGGCATGTTGAGAAAGATAATTCTGTCAGCAAATCGTCTTACTAGGCTCCCTCATACACTCTCCAACACCTGTAGGATCCAGAAAATTCTTGCTGCATCCCTACCAGCCTCAAAGGTAAGGAGATAGAGAATGTGGATGTTATAGCAAACCCCAAATCGGGTGACAAGATGAAGGAAACAGAGAAATCCCCCTCAAATTACAAATTTTATGCATCAAATATATTCCTTATGCTAATAATAGTCTTGCTTTTTTATTACTCCCCTGGTTCTATTTTGTTTTAATCTTGCCCTCGATTCTCTGGGTTAGTCTAGGACAACACAGGCTCCCTACGTGTCCAGCAACTCCTTTGAGGCTCTCCGGTTGTTTACTGATTGCCTCTCACTGTAAATGTCACGGCTGCACTCAGACACGACATGTGTAGCAATGAGTACCTCCCTTGTTATTCATTCCAGCGGCAGAACTCTAATCTCTTAAGTGCTCTATCGAGCCTGCCTGAATAACAAACCATTAAAGGATGCATAAGATAATAGCCTCTCCCCGGAGATACCACAGAAATCGGCCATAGTGACTTCACAAAATCTAAACTAGGGTCCTTTTACACAAAACAGTGGAAAAGGCCAGTCTAAAGCTCATCACAAAATACTGCCTACTCACATGGTGTGTTTTAAAAATCAAACCTAAGCTTGCTTTATTTTTAACATTTCTTGTTTTGGAATCTCTGTGAGCAATGACTCGTCATGACCTGATGGAACTACCCGTTTGGGTTTCTGAACCTGAAAGCAGACAGCCTCATCTTTCTCATATGGAGCGACTGATGGGTTCCAACCGCTGACCTTGTGGTCAGTAGCTCAGTGAGTAGCCCATTATGCTACCACGGGGCATCAGTGGTTTGCTTTGGCCTGGTTTCCTGCAGGGTTTCTCCTCTGATACCTATCATGCTCAGTCACGCTTATGCATATAGAACACATTTTTCAAAGTACATACTTGGTAATAGATGTCTTTTCTCTGATGCTTTCAGTTCCATGAGCCATCCCCCTCCCCTATTTAATGCAGTCTTTGAAAAATAATTATGGGGCAACCACAGCAAGGAAGGCTTTATGTAAGACCCTGAGGGAGCTGGAGGATATGTGGAAGCGGAGGATGCTCTCATTAGGAGGGCAATGGAGTGAAAATGAGAAAATGGAATCAGATGGGTCTCCGAGAATGGGGAGACTCCAAAAATACTGCATTCTAGAAAGACTACAGAGCAATCCAAGAAAGAAGGAGGATATTGTGCATAGTTATGGCTGTGTGTGCCATGTGGCTTCTTCTCCCAAGAAGGTGTGAGTCGACTGTAAGGTATAACTGACCAAGTCATGATGTTTATGTAAGCTACCTCTGTTTGTCAGCAGAGATTCTAGATGAACTAGGAAGAAAGGCCTGGCAACCGACTTCCAAAACTCAGCCAATGGAATGAGCCGCTAGGCCTAGGGGCTCAGGGCCATGGTCTCAGGGGACACCAAGATCAACTGGTATAACATAGCCCACAAAAGTAATGTTCTACATCGCATGTTGATAAGTAGCAACAAAGGTCTTACAAACGCATGAGTGGCCGAGTACGGGGCAACTTCTGGTCTCTCCCCATCTGGAGAAAGCAGAAAATTGAAGACGCATGGAAACCCACAGACACATTAGTTCACGAGAGTAAGGACCACACAAACATTAGTCTCCACGACCCC